GAATAATAATTGAAAAAATAAATAGTCAAATTAAACCATTCCACAAAAACTCATAGAAAAAAATTTATAAAAGTTTCATTTAAAATTGTGTAGAAAAAAAATGATATTGATAGGTGAAAAGGAATGTAGGTAGTAAGATTTTTCAATCTATTAAAGTTTCTGCTTTTATATTGGCATGGTTTAGGATTAGATTTTGTTTGATTGGTCATGTTAAGGTTTGATGGATAGATTTTTGTTTTGTTAGGCTTAATTTCTCGCCAAGTACATTAGGTACCTTAACAAAGCACAATACGTAACTTGTGAATCTTATTGTCAATATAATGGACCATTGTCCAGTAGCAATATTATAGAGGGTTTATCCTTCTGCTCTTCCTTGTCTGACTAGTAGGAAGGCGACGCCCTTTATTATTTAAGGAGATAGTTATGGGTGTATGGTATACATTTTATAGCTATTAATAAAAAACTATTTATCTTAATATTAAAAATTTTATTTTTTTAATAATTATAAAAAATACAATCCGTGTACACATCATAACCTGAAGTTAAGATGTAGCCATTGAACTGAATTTGTCTTGATCGTCTCTCTGGTTCTTCTAACCAGCCTCCCAAATGACCAGTTGCAAGCCAACAGGGAGCAGCCATACCCACTGGGCCACTGCTGCCTGCAGAGCCGAAGTTTCTGCCACAAACACCCGCTGTTTTAGTGGCCAAACCATCAACCAAAACTTTGCTAGCTACTCGATCTCTTTGCAAACTACAGCAACGCTTTCCAATCCCATCAATGAGTGGTAGGGTTATTGATGGTGTATTGGTGTGACAATATCACCACTCATTAATTAATTATATTATCAATGAATTAATTTTTTTTTTGTTAAAGATCTTTGAATACAACATTTAGTATAATTTTTAAAACTACTAGTGATTTTTTAAAAATAAAATTTAGGATTACATAATCATTTCACTTTTCTAATCTTGATGTACGATTTAAATCTTAAATTTTTTATTTTTAATAAAAAAATTACTAATAAATCATTTAGGTCTTTGAAAAATTGCTAGTGATGTTAAATCATAGTGTTTTGGTATAACAATGGGGAAAAAAATTAATAATGTCAATTTATAAAAATTTATCATCAAAGTGATGAACTGATCCCACCCTTTCCCATGGCAATGCTATCACCCCCAACAGCTTTTATTAGTGTATTTGGTGGGTATGGTGACCCACTTTCTAAAATATAAGATCAAGGGTGGTTTTGAGGTGATCACCACACACAAAGGCCCTGCAACTTCAGTTTTTGGGAGCTTACATCTCCCGACTAGCTACCAATATATAAGTCCCGATGATGAGTCCTCAACTTCTAATTACATCTCAAACATTTATGGAGTTTTAAATAAGAACATCATAATTCAGTTCCACTTAGAGTAGATCTGAGGTTATCCCATGAAATCTATGGCAACTTATGGAACTAGCATGGAGAATATCCTCCTCAACTCGTTTCTTACATTGTATCCTCCTATTCCCGTCTTCTCTCAAGCTCATCTTCTTCCTCCTCTCTCTTTCTGGAAACCCTAATCTAAGACCCATTCTGAATCTGAAGTCTTGGGAAGAACCTAATTAATTCTCTATCTCGAACATCTCTCAAGTGAGATTTACTTTCCACAACAAACAACGGTAATAGGGTGGCTTGGCTGCAATCAGAAGAGAACTGAGAGCATTTCTTGAGAGAATTGTTTCAATAATTTGGAAATCTTTTAAGTTGAAAGACTCCTAGTACAAGGTTTAAAAAAAACAAAAAACACCCATCAATGGCCGTGGTGACAGACATATCCAAGTGCCTACAGTATTGCATCTAAACTTGACTAGTTGTTTCTTCTACCTTGCTTGTGAACCCCACAAGCCACGTCCCTTTGTAATCTCAATGTTTAGTGGGAGAACACAGTACCCAGAGGGTATTTGAAACGTCCAGGCAGCGACCATTCAACATTTTTCCTTCCTAAAAACAACGACAAACACTAGAAAACTCCAGATATCGCTCCAGAAAGAATTTTAAGATTACTCTCCAGATCCTTCCTTTTTTTCTTTTGCATGGAAAGGAGACCATCAACAAAGGGAATAGTAAAGGTAACTTGCTCGAATCAGGAGAAATTCTAGGCATCTAGTATCTAAGACAGTAGAGAACAGCATCATGAATAAGATGATACCCGTAGAAGTCGCACCTACAGAGCTGCAAAAAGAGCACTGTTTTGCAGTCTAAGTTACAACAGATATAAATAACAAAACCTGTGTTTATACTTCTTTCTGAACCTGCAAAACATGCCAGGCTAAAAGGAAATGACGATTCAAGCATCCTATACATCAGCATCTCACTGCAATGTATAATCATCAAGATTTAATGGAAGGGGGAGGGGTGATATTGATAATTAGTAGAATGTACAAATGCCTGTGAACCACGCACCATATACTGAACTCCATGCATAGAGGTACAAAATGGCTCTCTAGAAGCCACATACACAAAGCTGGCGCTCAGGCTGTCTGTTAGCAAAAACTGTGGGCTATTCTTTTTAACTTCTCAAGTCTCAACCACATTTAAATAGATGATCCTTCCCCACTGCAATCAGACAGATAGAGGAGGAAAATCCTCATCATCTTTCAAACGGTATGATTGTATAGTCATCCTGCATGTAGGAGGACAAAACTAGTTACATGTATGTTTACTACTGGTACATGAAGCTTAAATAGGTCTCTCAATTTCTCATACCTATCTGGCCTTTTTGTTCCTGGTGTTGAGTGAACTGTGCTTGAGTTTGGAGCATGAGGAGAACCTAGATTGGACTGCTTACTGCTGTCTGGTGTGGGTGTGGCTGGTGGTACATGTCCAACTTGCCTGAATTCTACAACTCTGTCAGGATGATGCATTGAGCCGTTGGCATTAGAGTAGAACATCTTGTCAGCAGAAGCTGAGTGACGGAGATCTGAAGCGCCTGATCTGCTAGCCCCTTGATGAGCAATAGAATACACTGGTGACAGCTCATGGCTGCTTCTTTCAGGAGAATTTGACTCACGATATGTAATAGGACAGCCATTGTTACGAGGAGACCTGACTGGTGCTTGATTCCTTCCCCTTGCCGGCAGGGATTTATCCCTGTAATGGTTCTGCAAAAACCAAGCACATACCATTTTGGGACAAAGCCCATCTAAAGAATTTGATGAGAAGAGAAAAAATGGCAGTGGGATGAGGAGAGCTGGACTCACATGCTGACATTTTCAACAGATGTAAGTATGAAGTGCAATCCAAAAATCAAGAAAAAGCATACCATGTTGGGAAAGTATGTTCCAATTCCTCGTTGCTTAGGCATGTCTTCAATTCCAAATCCTGCACCATGTAGCAACTGTGTTCTCAATGGAGGGTACACTGGCCTTGGAACGATGCCATTGGCATTCATGGGAGGAACCATGGATCGGCTAAACAGCATGGCCTGCCTTACAAGATCCCATGAATTCTTGCTCTGAAGAAGTTTTGATGATGACACAGGAGAAACAGGTGCACTCAAGACAGAGTCATAGAACCACCGACCAAATTGCAAACTGTTGAGCTGACTATCATTATCCCCACATAGATCTGACAAGGAGTCTGAAGCTTCATGATTTCCACATGTTATAACAGAGGATGTATAACCTGAAAAACCACGATATATATCCTCCGAGGACCGAGTATAATACACAGATGAGGAATGATGCCTTGACCGACCAGGGGATAAGACCTCTTGATTGACAGTTGACTTGTTTCCAGCCTGATCATCAATTTCAGAGACACACATCTTCCGACCAGAAGCTGGAAGAATACTAGAAGACACTTTCTTCTCAGTCAAATAAGAATTTGCCGATTGTTTCCGTTCCACAATTCCATTGCTACTTCCCTCAGCATTTGGTATGGAAACTTTAGGTGTATCATTTGAAATTACAAGACCTTGGATTCTGTAGGTAGCCAAATCTTCTGCATCTCCAGAGAGATGGTTTTCTGAAACAGCAGATCCACTTGCGGAATTTTTCTGTTCATTGAGAGATTTGCTATAACTGGTTTCTCTCCTAGATTGATCACCGTTATTGACTCCAAGCAATGAGTCATGATCCTGCATAAAATTCTCAGGCACGCTACTTGGATTTGAAGATTCTGCTTCATAAACCATTTGATCTTCTTGACAAGACTGGGGACCTGAAATTGGTGGTGTTGCAGTTAATCCACTGTATCCAGTCATTGGGACAGAATCTGGAACATCAGGTCTCTGTCCACTTCCATGCCTAACCCAAGTGTTCTGGAAAAATTTATGAAGTTCTTCGCCTATGTTTTCTTCTGCTTGGGAAAGAATGTGCCGCAGCTTTCGAGCCCCATAAATGAAAGCACTTCTTATACGATAGAAGTTCCCTGTGCATGATACAGGATGAAATTACCTTATAAGCAGCTAGATAACAAAGCAAAACCATTATATTAAATCAAACCATGCCAAGGAAAGTGGAAGCAAAATGAACAAGGAAAGTAGGCCCACCTTTGCTAACACTGCGGCCAAGATTATTATTTTCTTTAAGTGGATCGACTATGTTAAGATGCTTCTGGGGGAATGTACGTAAATTAGTCTCAAATCCCTTTGAAGGAACTGAGAACCTTTCTAGACAGTCCTTGAGAAAGTCATTACTAAGAAGAAGATCAACCCCACCATTTTCAGGTGTCTCAACTACAAAAGGATCAAAGGGGTTAGGATTTCAATCAAGCAGAAAAATGAACAATCATGCAAGGCAAAATTATTAGGTTACTAACCCAAAACTTCTGGCAAGGAAGATATACGGATTGGCCCATTTAAACTGATACAGTAGTTGTCCCAATCAAATTTGCTAAAGTAGTCCAAAAATTTATATAAAACCTGTAGGGTGAAAATATTTCTTGAATTGAATTTATTTGTTAAATTGTTAACATTACTGAAATTTCTACAGCCCTCACCACTAAAGGACCGTCCAATGATGAATGGAAAAAATGGAAGATATAAAGGACCAGAGTCTCCAACGCATATGTAGCAATCAAGCCATGATGAGCACCAAGAATACGGCTCTCATAATAACACCATGCCTTGATGAGTATAATACTGCGTTTAAAGAGATTATCTTTTCCAATTAGACGGTCAACCTGTAGAATAGTCAGGAGGAGGAAAATGTATCTTTAACTTAATGGAGCTTCCAGTTGGTCTATCAATTAAATAAACATAACAAAGTATCCAATTAATTCATTCAAGCATTCATTTTTTAGTGCAGTGCACCTTTTCAAGGAAGCATAGAGTACACAGCCCTCCCAACTGATTGAAAGAGATATCTACTACAATGTTCTGTACCAGACACTTTACAAGTTTAACCTGCAAGCAGAAAGGCAGAATTTAAGATGACAAACTAGATAATCACCAAAGGACTTCAGAAACATAAACCACGTGGACAAAAGTCATCTCAACCAAACAGAGATAGCATATTATATTATGGTTCACAAGCACAAAATCATGTTGATTATGCATAACCAAAAATGTTTGATAACTAAGCAGCTCCATTGCAACTTTGAAGTTGTTGGACTCACCAACAGGCTGCTTAATAGAGTAATTTAAGTGACATTACACACAGCATAGCCATCTCAAAATCATACAGTGATAAGTTATGTTTTCCCCAGTGGGAAAAAGGCAAGGAAGACATATTACAAAAGATTCTTCTTTTCCTTTCAACATGCCAAAAATTGTATCAATCACCTTGGGAGTCACATATCTTTGACCTAATGTTACCATGAAACAAACAAAAGAGAAAACTTCATAAACATAAACATTTGTTCATTTCAATGCTTTAATCATAGAGTTATGCATAGGAACATAATTAAGAAATCATAATATAACATAAGTTAGAAGAAAAAAGATGATTACTTAAGTCAAATGGCATTTATGTAAAAAGTTAAATACAAAATCTATTCCACAATTGCTGGTTAAAAAAAAAAAATTATCAGAAATATCCACGTAATATAAGGAAAAGAGAGGCAATAAAGCCCAGGGAAACATTCCCAAAAAACCCGAAAAGACACCTAAAAAATAATTTCACTCATGCCCCCCAAAAAGTAAACTTAGTTTGTAAGTTCTAATCTGATTTATAATGACACAAGAGGAACACAGTCTGAAAACCTTCTTATATTGGATCATTCTTTGTCAAAATCAAACCATGCTTTATCTTTCCATCAAATTCTTCCTGTTCTTGCCAAATGCTGTGTGCTTGTTGGATTGATAAGAGACTTCAGTCCTACTTATTCTGTTGTCTGAGATCCATCACCAAAAACATCTATATTACCCAACTGCTCTTTAATCTCTTGCATGGAGAGAATAAAATATAAATTACCAATCCATAAGAGGAAAGACTTTTGAGGAAAACCAATGGCACCATGGTGCATGCAAAAAGGAGTATTGAGAGAACTGTCTGCACTTTTTCTCTTAATAGGAATCATGAAACAGAGTTATTAAGATATTATTTAAGGGATTTTCTAACCTGTGCCCTTAGCCTCATTAATTGCAATATTTGTAATTAATTTTGCACAATTTTCATACAAGATTCTAATAAAATATAATATAAAATTTAAAAATATAATATAATATAATATTTGTACTCGAAATCTATAAAAAGTTATAAATCTGATGAAATTTTGTGCAAAATTAATTAAAGATACCCTAATTACTGATTCTTAACCTGCGCCCTAAGGACAAAGGTTAAACAAACCCATCATTTAATTATAGGCTTTTTCCATGTACCTGTCTTATTTGAAAGAACCAACATTCGTTATCCTGTCAGGGTAATCATCTTTCAACAAGGCTTTTTCCATTACCAAATAGAATTCCATAGCTCATGCTTACAATTTCTCACTTAACAAAAGCAGTCATACAAGCTGAACTGAGTGTGCTAGAAATAATTCTTTACTCTCAACAATAGGCAATAACAACTGCCAAAGCTAGGAGAAACTATTACATTTCTCTCTATCTACTTGGACATATATCTCTAGAATCCTGTGAAATTATACTTGGAAATGATGGCAAAAGAAGAAATGCCCAGAACAATTTTCTACACAGTTTAAAAGGGAAACGTAATCCTATGTCTTTGAGTGTATGATCCTCTAATTTGAACAAGTAATAAAAAAAAAAAAAAAAGGCACATAGACCATACCAAAAATACTTAAGCACAGAATATTGAAAATTAACTTGATTCCAAAATGGCATTCATCAAACTATGGGGGGACGAAAGCATAAAATTACTTTTCTCACACTATCTTGGTATTAACAATGCCATATTATAGGGATGGGGGCTCAAAACACATGAACAGAAATAGAAGAGATGTTAATAGAAGAGATGTTTTCTTCCTCTTCTTCTTCTTTTTTTTTTTAATTTATTTATTTAAAATAAAAGATGATTCTTTTGTAACCAAAAAAGAATTACTTTCAGTTATACAAGCAAAATACATAACAAATAACTAAGTGAAGGTTTATAGAAACATAGAGTTTAAGATAAAAACCTCTGCCCGGATAAATTGAACATCCTTCACAACAAACTCTGCATCACTGTTCTGCTCCTCAAATTCAAGGACAGAACATAAATCATTTGCCAGAGCGTCTTCAACATTCAGACCACCAAAGGCTGTCAAATCGATATCTCCATCAGGAAGATAGGTCTTCAGTGGGACTGATCCAAATGGAAATACCTAAAACTAAGACAAGTTAGAAGAAAAAAAGAAAAAAAGAAATCCATATTTATTTGAATTGACTACATTGCAACCGTACTAATTTAAAAGCAGGAACTTGAAGTTCAGAAATGTGTTCATGAACGAGGAAGAAAGCAAGAAAACATTTTTTAAAAAAAAAACAAGGAGGAGAAAAAAAAATAGCATAAAATGTAAATACTTCTTTGCCAATAAATGCATACATTCTCGTTCTGCTGATGTTAATCAACAATCTGGTAGTGCCACATACACTCTCATTGGAACGTACAATACCTAGCATACCATGAAAGCAATGCTTGGAAAGATATCTTACAGTAACTAGAAAGAAAATATCTCATAATCTACCCTTTTTTTTTTCATGTCCGTCCTATAGAGGACACTAAAAAGAGCTTGTTGCTAGTTGATCTCTAGTTTCAACTTACCAATTAAAGATGTCAATCCACATCACCTAACAACCTGAACTTGACAATGAGGGAAGCAAATCCGAAACCCCCATCTATATTTTTCCATATGGCAGCAGTTCAACCAGCTCACCAAAGGTCAGAATTCAAAGATTTAGATAAAATTCCACTTGGAAAGATTTTTATGGAGATACCTTGTCGTGACATCTTAACAAACTAACATTCTAAACATTCTTCCACTTACTTAAAAGGTAATAGAGCACAACTTAACAGGTAGCGCGTGACGCAAAAAAGCTGGCATCATCTGCAACCAACTGGAAG